AATGCATTATTTAGATTGTGTTATGTCCATAAAATGGAATTATACATTATTCAGATTGTGTTGTGTACATTAAGTGGAATAATGCATTATTTAGATCGTGTTGTGTGCATTAAATACCATAATGCATTATTTAGATTGTGTTATGTACATTAAATACCATAATGCATTATTTAGATTGCGTTATGTACATAAATGGAATAATACATCATTTAGAATGTGTTGTGTACATTAAGTGGAATAACGGATTATTGAGATTGCGTTATGTACATAAGATAGAATAATACATTATTTAGATTGTATTATGTTCATTTCAAGGAATAATGCAGTGTTCAGATTGTGTTGTGTACATTAAATGAATTAATGTATTATTTAGATTGTGTTGTGTACATTAATGGAATAATGCAGTGTTCCGGTTGTGTTGTGTACACTAAATAAATTAATGCATTATTTACACTGTGTTGTGTACATTAAAGAGAATAAAGCATTATTTAGATTGTGTTATGTACATAAAATGGAATAATACATTATTCAGACAGCGTTGTGTACATTAAGTGGAATAATGAATTATTTAGATCGTGTTGTGTACATTACAAGGAATAATTCATTAATTAGATCATGTTGTGTTCATTACAAGGAATAATACATTAATTAGATCATGTTGTGTACATTACAAGGAATAATACATTAATTAGATCATGTTGTGTACATTACAAGGAATAATACATTAATTAGATCGTGTTGTGTTCATTACAAGGAATAATACATCATTTATTTACACTATGTGGTGAGAAGTTGATTATCATATGGAAATGTGGCAGGCCGTGAATAACACGTTAAACTGATATTGATATCTACATCCAACGTAACAGCCCAAACAGTGGAAAGTGTACTCTTTAGGGTTAACGAGGTCCAAATATACAGTGTGTAGACAGGTACTGGTCCCTGTAAGGTAGTGTGTGGACAGGTAGGTATGTCTGGTGTCTGTGAGGTTGTGTCTAGACAGGTAGATATGTCTGGTCCCTGTAAGGTAGTGTGTAGGCAGGTACATATGTCTCTGTGTGCGTGTGTGTGCGTGCGTGTGTGTACAACACACCGACTATGCATGTGAATGGTTGTACTGTCTACAGGTTGTCTGCTATTGTTTCAAGCTTCTCAAATATCTTGACGCTAATTAGATTTTTTAACATCATAGCGATATCTCTACACATCCCTAATTTATAGACCATAACGATATATCTACATGTAAATAACATCCCTAATTACAGAGCATAACGATATATCTACCTGTAAGTAACATCCCTGATTACAGAGCATAACGATATATCTACATGTAAATAACATCCCTGATTACAGAGCATAACGATATATCTACATGTAAATAACATCCCTGATTACAGAATATAACCATATATCTACATATAAATAGCATTATGGATTACAGAATATAACCATATATCTACATATAAATAACATCCTGATTACAGAGCATAACGATATATCTACCGGTAAATAACATTCTGGATTACAGAGCATAACGATATATTTACATGTAAATAACATCCCTGATTACAGAGCATAACGATATATCTACATATAAATAGCATTCTGGATTACAGAATATAACCATATATCTACATATAAATAACATCCTGATTACAGAGCATAACGATATATCTACCGGTAAATAACATCCCTGATTACAGAGAATGACGATATATCTACATGTAAATAACATCCCTGATTACAGAATATTCCCATATATCTACATGTACATAACATCCCTGATTACAGAATATAACCATATATCTACATATAAATAGCATCCTGGATTACACAATATAACCATATATCTACATATAAATAACATCCTGATTACAGAGCATAACGATATATCTACCTGTAAATAACATCCCTGATTACAGAATATAACCATATATCAACATGTAAATAGCATCCCTGATTACAGAATATAACCATATATCAACATGTAAATAGCATCCCTGATTACAGAATATAACCATATATCTACATGTAAATAACATCCTGATTACAGAGCATAACGATTAATCTGTATGTAAATAACATCCTGGATTACAGAATATAACTATATATCTACATGCAAATAACATCCTGGATTACAGAGTGCAACGATATATCAACCTGAAAATAACATCCCTCCATACAGAGTATAATGTTATATCTATATGTAACTAACATCCCTGATTACAGAGAATACCTATATATCTACATGTAAATAACATCCCTGATTACAGAGAATAACTATATATCTAAATGTAAATAACATCCAGGATTACAGAATATAACTATATATCTACATGTAAAATTAAATCCCTCTATACAGAGTATAACGATATATCTATATGTAAATAACATCCCTGATTACAGAATATAACTATATATCTACCTGTGAATAACATCCCTGATTACAGAATATAACTATATATCTACCTGTAAATAACTTCCTGATTACAGAGAATAACGATTAATCTACATGTAAATAACATCCCTGATTACGGAAAATAACGATATATCAATATGTAAATAACATCCCTGATTACAGAAAATAACGATATATCAATATGTAAATAACATCCCTGATTACAGAAAATAACGATATATCTACCTGTAAATAACATCCCTGATTATAGAGTGCAGCGTTATATCTACCTGAAAATTACATCCCTCTATACAGAGTATAACGATATATCTATATGTAAATAAGATCCCTGATTACAGAGAATAACTATATATCTACATGTAAATAACATTCCTGATTACAGAATATAACCATATATCTACATGTAAATAACATCCCTGATTACAGAAAATAACGATATATCTACATGTAAATAACATCCCTGATTACAGAGAATAACTATATATCTACATGTAAATAACATCCTTGATTACAGAGAATAACGATTAATCTTCATGTAATTAATGTCCCTGATTACAGAAAATAACGATATATCTACATGTAAATAACATCCCTCATTATAGAAAACAACTATATTTCTACATGTAAATAACATCCCTCCATACAGAATATAACTATATATCTTCCGTAAAATTAAATCCCTCTATACAGAGTATAACGATATATCTATATGTAAATAACATCCCTGATTACAGAATATAACCATATATCTACCGGTAAATAACATCCCTGATTACAGAGAACAACTATATATCTACATGCAAATAACATTCCTGATTACAGAATATACCCATATATCTACATGTAAATAACATCCCTGATTACAGAATATAACCATATATCTACATATAAATAGCATCCTGGATTACAGAATATAACCATATATCTACATGTAAATAACATCCCTGATTACAGAGAATAACTATATATCTACATGCAAATAACATCCCTGATTACAGAGAATGACGATATATCTACATGTAAATAACATTCCTGATTACAGAATATTCCCATATATCTACATGTAAATAACATCCCTGATTACAGAGAATAACTATATATCTACCGGTAAATAACATTCCTGATTACAGAATATGGGTTTACAGAATATACCCATATATCTACATGTAAATAACATCCCGGATTACAGAATATAAGTTTATTTCTACATGTAAATAACATCCCTGATTACAGAGAATAACTATATATCAACCTGAAAATTACATCCCTCCATACAGAGAATAACGATATACATGTATATACATGTAAATAACATCCCGGATTACAGACTATAACTATATATCTACCTGTAAATTACATACCTCCATACAGAGAATAACAATATATCTACATGTTAATAATATCCCTTTTTACGGACTATAAGTTTATCCTATAAACTGTCGTTCCGGAAGGAGGTCACATTACTGCAGTACCAGAAAATATTTTGATATTATACCTGAATATATGTTGATATTATACCTGAATATATGTTGATATTATACCTGAATATATGTTGATATTTTACCTGAATATATGTTGATATTATACCTGAATATATGTTGATATTATACCTGAATATATGTTGATATTATACCTGAATATATGTTGATATTATAGCAGAATATATGTTGATATTATACCAGAATGTATGTTGATATTATACCTGAATATATGTTGATATTATACCTGAATATATGTTGATATTATAGCAGAATATATGTTGATATTATACCAGAATGTATGTAGATATTATACTAGAATATATGTTGATATATTACCTTACCTCTTAACGTTTGCACTGCGATTGTGCAACTGTTGTGTGGACATTTACGTGGTAATACCTCGTTAGATGTAATACTGCTATTGTAAGCATTTCAAATTCTGTGTTCTTGACATTCGACTTCTTACAGGGTGTGTAACTGGTCATGTATTTATCTTGAACCAGGTAATGTATTTGTCTGGATACATTCAAGACTTAGTAACTGTGTACTCGGTTTTCCTGCATATTTCTTAGTCTGTCACTGAAACTATAAACTATGATGCACCTGCATTCATATCAATATTTCTAAACGGATGTATAACTGAGTATCTGCAAAATCTATTTTTCTTTTTGCACCATTTATTAGTTTGTTCCATTATACTTAAATATATCACTGAATATTGTCTGCCTTTTGAAACATACGATTTTGTTTACTTTCATATTTACAAATGAATCTGTTTAACAATCTACGTCTTGTGGGGTAGAATTATTTTTGCGGAAAGCAAGGGATTTCGGAAAGGAACGCTTAAAGTAGTATTTTACAAAATATATATTATTTTTGTAAATGCAAAACATGTGTTATGTAATTTGGAAGTGGGAACATGGCAAAACACTTGCTCCGACACCACCGCCATCTTCACACACAACATGGCTCTAGCCACATCGCCTAAATACACCCCTCCCCACCCACACACAATCCAGGCCCCCTACCCCGCCACCCTCCCTACACACAACACTGGAAATGTCTACATGGTATCTAGGGTACAGCCAGCATGTACTCACCAATGGCAACAACAGGACCGAACACCGATGTATCATCCACTGTACTACAGTTCCATCTTCTAAACCGGAATTGATACTGACACTCGCCTATTCCCATCTTGGCCCCTCTCCCTATGCTGGGCATATGATCATGGTAGAGCTGACAGAACTTAGTCTGGCCGGCGGAGAGGCCCTTCAACTGGGTGCACATAGGGGTAGCTCCCAGGATGTACAACTGGGGGTTCCTCCACGTGTCGAAAGGCCGGACGCCAAGATTCCTAAAGATCGGAGAATCTGATTATTCCAAACAATCATGAAGCAACAGAAAGGACTATACAAGCCGACAAACAGGAGCATGGCACAAGGTTTAGAGGTAAGTCTCGCACAGCCCCTCCCGATGGATATGACACACCTCACAGGGTGTTCGTGTTTCCAGCGGTAAGATGGGACACACTATGTAAGACAGAAAACTATAGGAAAGATAGAACAATATGTAAGTCCTGTGTAAGATAGAGCACTGTGTGCGATATACGACAATGTAAGATGTGTTCTCATATTTCACGGAAGTCCCGTGATTATGTATTAAATATGGTTGCTTGGTATTAAAAGTTCAACCACGCCTCTTTCACCACAACAAAAGCTGTGAAAAGCACAAATAACACTCGGAGAAGAATGTGTGGAAATAACGAACAGAGGTGTTGGCCAACCCGAATGGTTTTCAGTTTTGAGATTAGCTATCTTACTTGATCCGTGTAAGTTATACCCCGTCACACACCCTCCCTAGCACCGCTATCGAATTCAATGCAGAATGCTACGGGTGATATTAACATCGATAAAACCCCACACAACTACTGAAATCTCGGCATGGGATAGAAGGTGTTTTTTTTGCCCTGTCTAGGAGTATTTAGCTGTGGGGAAAGAGAATGAGATGAATGGAAATCTGGCTATACGTACCACCACATGTCCAGTGCTGAGACGACCATGGCTTGTAGGCATAGCAAGAGGACCCCACGGTGCCACCAGCGGCGTCGAGCCATCGCTCATAGCACTGTTGTATAATCCAGTTTTCTGAAGGAGAGAGAAGAAAAGATTCCTAGAGTTTCTGATGCCTTTGAATTGCTGTAATGGTAACCATCACTCCCAAATGCTGGCATCTTCAGGGGAACTTCCTCGCCAAGCCCCTTGTCTCCACTTTGAGATTGCTCGCCACAGCCCGAACACCGTGCATCGTGCTGCTTCTCCTCACTCACATGATTGAAAGCAGCAAACGACCAGCTGTCAATCAAATACGGCAAGCGTTCTCATTGGTCCTTCCTAACACCGTAACATGATTAAAATTTCAATCTTGGCACAGCTAAGAAGTGAATGGCGATTCCGTATAAACGCGGAGGCTTTGTTCGGGTACCCCCAGACAAGTCGCTCCTCCTCAGCCTTGCATGTCGTTTCAACGCTCAGATCCCCTTTCATAACTTTCAGAGCGTTGCCGAGCCCCCCTGTCTCCTCGCCTCGGTATCCCTCCCTGCCTAGCGTGGCCACAGCCGAACACAGCAGAACACAGCCGAACACAGTTAGCGGGGCCAGTCATAAACCGCAAGAGGGCTCAGTAATGACATGATAAGTATATGATATTCATTTGACAAAACGTGTCTCTTGTCAATAAGAAAGCTATTTACATGAAATAAAAAGCATGACATTGTTGAAGACCAGTGTTATGGGTCTGTGAATGTCACAAATTATTGAGGTGAATACAATGAGGTGGTTGTATTTAGGTTGGTATACAACTACACACAGCCAATGTGAAGTGACCACGGCGTTCACAGCCCAGGTCAAACAACGCAGTGTAACACGCCGTAACTCGAATGTTAATGTTATGCAATCATAATGTGGTCATATGTCGACATTTTGATGTACATTATTGCAACTACTTGTAAGTATATAAAATATGAATATATAAAAAATATGTAAGAACATAAAATATGTAAGAATATAAAATATGGAAGCAGAAAAGAAATACTTCCTGTGTTTATGACAATTAAGTAACAAACGCCTCACCTTGTCAAACCACAGCAAGCTGTTTCGTGGGCTACGCAACCCATTGAAGTGTAGATCAAGCGTTTTTACTCTATCTTAATTTATTTCCTGAGATTAAGTGCTGTAATATCCTGAATCGGATTAGGATAATCCCGAGGGCTGGCGAGAGATGACGTAAGACGCTCAATGATCAGCCAAGTGGGGGCGGGGAAAGAAAGGGGGAGTGGCAGGGGGGAGGTGGCGACAGGTACTGCTGCCCTGCTATCGTTTTCAACATGCCCTACCAACATCTACCATGAAGAAAGTAGGTCACGCTATAAAGGTATTCCATGTGTTCAGAGAGGGGGAAAGTTTGATCTTTAACCTGCTATTCTTCCCTGGTAGCTGTGATGCAGCAGTATATCTATACATTACACAACGGAGTCAGGTACATTCTACTACAGGTACTTGTTGCAGCAGTACATTACACAACGGAGTCAGGTACATTCTACTACAGGTACTTGAGACAGCAGTATATCTATACATTACACAACGGAGTCAGGTACATTCTACTACAGGTACTTGAGACAGCAGTACATTACACAACGGAGTCAGGTACATTATACTACAGGTACTTGAGACAGCAGTATATCTATACATTACACAACGGAGTCAGATACATTCTACTACAGGTACTTGTTGCAGCCGTACATTACACAACGGAGTCAGGTACATTATACTACAGGTACTTGAGACAGCAGTACATTACACAACGGAGTCAGGTACATTCTACTACAGGTACTTGAGACAGCAGTATATCTATACATTACACAACGGAGTCAGATACATTCTACTACAGGTACTTGTTGCAGCCGTACATTACACAACGGAGTCAGGTACATTATACTACAGGTACTTGAGACAGCAGTACATTACACAACGGAGTCAGGTACATTCTACTACAGGTACTTGAGACAGCAGTATATCTATACATTACACAACGGAGTCAGATACATTCTACTACAGGTACTTGTTGCAGCCGTACATTACACAACGGAGTCAGGTACATTATACTACAGGTACTTGAGACAGCAGTACATTACACAACGGAGTCAGGCACATTATACTACAGGTACTTGATACAGCAGTACATTACACAACGGAGTCAGGTACATTATACTACAGGTACTTGATACAGCAGTACATTACACAAGGGAGTCAGGTACATTATACTACATGTACTTGTTGCAGCAGTACATTACACAACGGAGTCTGGCACATTATACTACAGGTACTTGATACAGCAGTACATTACACAAGTACAGGTACATTATACTACATGTACTTGTTGCAGCAGTACATTACACAACGGAGTCTGGCACATTATACTACAGGTACTTGATACAGCAGTACATTACACAAGGGAGTCAGGTACATTATACTACAGGTACTTGTTGCAGCAGTACATTACACAACGGAGTCAGGTACATTATACTACAGGTTTTTGTTGCAGCCGTACATTACACAACGGAGTCAGGTACATTTTACTACAGGTACTTGATACAGCAGTACATTACACAACGGAGTCAGGTACATTCTACTACAGGTACTTGTTGCAGCCGTACATTACACAACGGAGTCAGGTACATTATACTACAGGTACTTGTTGCAGCAGTACATTACACCACTGAGTCAGGTACATTATACCACAGGTACTTGATACAGCAGTACATTACACAACGGAGTCAGGTACATTCTGCTACAGGTACTTTATACCTCATACTTTATCTGTGAGCGTTGTAGTCCTTTCTATTTTCAATGCATGATATTTTTGTCGCACTTGTTATCAATTACTCTTCGCCACTAAAGGATACATATTATATTATTTACTTTGCATTCTTAGGGATGCCAGCTACACGCTGGTGACACACAAGTTTCTGTACACTTAAAGTCGATCGATATACACTATAAGTAAACGGTATAAGCTGCTGTGTCAAGGATGTTCATCTTTGTTTTATGCACATAATATTTAAACAAAACCCCAGATATTCAGAATTGGGAGTAAAAGACCGCAATAGTTCTATTACTTGTGAAGAGTCTTGAATTCGCCAGTAATGTCCAAATTATAAACATTTCTTATCTGAGACAGGTAACTGACATTTAGTACGACATGGAGTTATCTGTCAGCTGTTATTCAGGATTTGCATAACGGCATTCAAAGAGTCAAGAACGGAAACAGCATTACCCCCACCCACCCAAGCCACACAAACATTGGTTATTCTGCCTTATATCAATCAGACCCACCCCAATGTCCCGAGCCACTAATCACCACGTACATCCACATAGCTAGACTGTCATTATTATATACAACGTAATATCTATATCCCACATACATAGAACTAAACTGTCATTATTATATACAACGTAATATCTATATCTCACATACATCGAACTAAACTGTCGTTATTATATACTACGTAATATCTATATCCCACATACATAGATCTAAACTGTCGTTATTATATACAACGTAATATCTATATCCCACATGCATAGAACTAAACTGTCGTTATTATATACAACGTAATATCTATATCCCACATACATCGAACTAAACTGTCGTTATTATATACAACGTAATATCTATATCCCACATACATTGAACTCAACTGTCGTTATTATATACAACGTAATATCTATATCCCACATACATAGAACTAAACTGTCATTATTATACACAACGTAATACCTATGTCCCACATACATAGAACTAAACTGTCATTCTTATGCACAACGTAATATCTATATCCCACATACATTGAACTAAACTGTCATTATTATGCACAACGTAATAGCTATGTCCCACATACATAGAACTTAACTGTCCTTATTATACACAACGTAATACCTATGTCCCACGTACATTGAACTAAACTGTCATTATTATATACAACGTAATATCTATATCCGACATACATTGAACTAAACTGTCCTTATTATATACAACGTTATATCTATATCCCACATACATTGAACTAAACTGTCGTTATTATATACAACGTAATATCTATATCCCACATACATAGAACTAAACTGTCATTATTATATACAACGTAATATCTATATCCCACATACATCGAACTAAACTGTCGTTATTATATACAACGTAATATCTATATCCCACATACATAGAACTAAACTGTCGTTATTATATACAACGTAATATCTATATCCCACATACATAGAACTAAACTGTCATTATTATATACAACGTAATATCTATATCCCACATACATAGAACTAAACTGTCATTATTATATACAACGTAATATCTATATCCCACATTCATCGAACTAAACTGTCGTTATTATATACAACGTAATATCTATATCCCACAAACATCGAACTAAACTGTCGTTATTCTATACAACGTAATGTCTAGATCCAACATACATCGAACTAAACTGTCGTTATTATATACAACGTAATGTCTATATCCCACATACATCGAACTAAACTGTAGTTATTATACACAACATAATGTCTATATCCCACATACATCAAACTAAACTGTCGTTATTATATGCAACGTAATATCTATATCCCACATTCATCGAACTAAACTGTCGTTATTATACACAACTTAATATCTATATCCCACATACATAGAACTAAACTGTCGTTATTATATGCAATGTAATGTCTATATCCCACATACATAGAACTAAACTGTCATTATTATACACAACGTAATACCTATGTCCCACATACATAGAACTAAACTATCAATATCATACACAACGTAATATCTATATCCCACATACATCGAACTAAACTGTCATTATTATGCACAACGTAATAGCTATATCCCACATACATAGAACTAAACTGTCGTTATTATACACAACTTAATATCTATATCCCACATACATAGAACTAAACTGTCGTTATTATACACAACGTAATATCTATATCCCACAAAAATAGAACTAATCTGTCATTATTATACACAACGTAATACCTATATCCCACATACATCGAACTAAACTGTCGTTATT